AATATCGCTTTCAATTTGATTGAAATGACGCACTAACCTGGAGATCTTTCGACAATTTGATCGAAAGCGACTAGATCGCTCGATCTGATTGCTCGTTTATCGCCTAGTGAATGGCAGCCTTTAGCAATGTGCACAGTTTCTCGGTTTATTGCATACGTTTTGCAACGTTTTTAGTATTCTCTCTTGTTTAGTACATTATAAACGCATTGTACTCTTCTTACATACGGAAATCTCGACCCAATAACTAACCTTTGCCTGCCACGTTCCCAGACACAGAAATCTATTTCCAAAAAATATAAATAATACACTCAACATGATATACTACAGAGCAATAATTAAAGCCTGCCTGCAACTCGCACAATACCCATTATTGTATGAACATAATATAACAATATTAATAAAATAATTATTTCTGCTAACATATAGAGACTAGTGATGAGCAAATGCAAGGACAGTCTTACTCTTAGTTTAGCCGGCGCCGGCACCGGCATGGTGCAGATTTTGCCGGTGTGTGTGAAAGCGTTCTTTGACCCGATCCGCTAGTATTTCAAATAAAGTAACCCACAATGCATGAACCCGCTTCTTAGCCGATTTATATTGTTTACTTTACTAAACCATGCCGTATTTTTCCTTTTTCTTTCTTCTAAAAATCTCATTATTAGATATTTGCATACCTTAGAAAACGCTGAACCAAAAAACGAGCAAATATTTCAATCCAAAGGATTCCCCTCGACTCCTGCCAGTGTGATGGGACTTCCATCCTGCCTGCAACTCGCACAATTTCCGGTATTTCCCCCCCGAGAGAGACCCAAAGCGTAGCGGCACGTTCGACGTGGAATAAAGGGGGCCCGCTTCCTCCCGCTCTTCCTCTTTTTCTGACATATTAAAATTTAAGCCATTAAAACGGTTTTATATTGGCGTGCCTTACCACATTACTTCTCAGATGACTGTACAAGAGGCAGCTTTGACAACAGAATCATTTAGTGGCACGTTAAAGATATTTTCCTGTAATTAACAATTACTGGAAAATTCAGTTAACTTGTTTGTATACACATAGATCAACACAAAGATTTGTTTGACATATTTTTTACTTTTTTTCTTGATTGAACAATTAAAGGCACAGTTGACTATCCGGAGGAAATATTCCCCAATTTGATATAGTCAATTTTTTAACAGTATTTGTAATTTTGCACTTAACGTATTTTGTTAAAAGTTAAGTGTTCTATAAGGCCATTTTTCTTGATATTTTTCTTTAGTTCGAATAGAATAAAAACAACAAAAGAAAAACAGTAAAACTATCTGTGTCAAAAGAGGACCATTAGTATATTTATATTAGACCTAAAATAGCCGAATAGAAGAAAAAATTTATAAAGTTTTGATATGTTAGACGCACCAAAAGGAGACTTTTCAAAATCAAAAGAGTTTTTAACTCTAAAGTGTGAGCTTCGCCCAAAAAAACCACCCCCAATACGCCCTTCGATGGTTTTTCGCTTTTTTCTCAGAACCCGTTGGTCCCACAAAAAATTTTATACTTACCGAAAATATTTCATATAAAATTTGCTACAAAAAAGGTTCTATTCATTATTTATATTTATCCAATGCCTTTCGAGCAATAACCGTTTGAAAAATGGAGTACAAAAAAAAATACAGGCCGCCTTTCAAATTATAGTCTCCCAAGGTATTTTAACGTGTTAAATATACACGCAACAGATATAATACTGTATAATATAAACAAAAACATTGCCTATTCCACTAACTAACATTCTACTTTCATCTACATATTGTCATCTTCTATAGTTTCTAGAATGTGCTCAGTATTCGAACAACTTAGCCCACGACAGGTTCCGCACATAGTTGTACATTTCATGCCGGCTTTAATGCAACTGCATCTTTTTACACAATCTTGTTTGCACGTTATTAATGACATAATTGAAACAGGGACGGGCGATTCTGATGTATATAAAGGTGACAGGGTGTTGTTGATTTTCTTTCAGCCCCACTGGTCGGGTTTTATAGGTTGTTCTTGCCATATTTGTACTTGAAGATATGTTCTCCGGGAATGTTGCCTAGCTGCAGTAGATGTGGGAGGCAATTTTAATAAAAGTACCGTGGTACCATGCTGTTTGTTTGACCAACTAACTTTCAATAAGTTAGTTAACAAGCGTATCTTTGCTCACTAAAGCTCCCTTCAGATGATTGAAGTTTGTATAGTTTCAGTATAAACGTCTCTCCAGCTTTTTCATTTTCTTCAGGTGTTGATTTTATGTTGTTAAAAATATCGACGATACTATCAAGGTCTTTTTCTTTATTAAATATTTATACGTGTTAGGTTAGGTTTGGTTGGTTTTCTTTTTCCAAAAAATCCTGATGTTGTGTCACACCCGCTAATAGCGTGAATAAATAAAATTGATTTTTTTAAGTTACATATAATACTGGATGATTGCAAGTCTCTCGAACTATACATTCGTTGTTTCACATTACCTATGGCTTCTTACAGAAAAAGAATGTCTTTTCATCGGGGGAAAGTCCTGCAATAAAACAAGATCGACATCTTGTCCAACGACTAGAACTTGTTCATTTTTCTCAGATGGCAGCACGAATAATTTGAACATCAGCAAACAAGATTGTATAAAAAGATGCAGTTGCATTAAAGCCGGCATGAAATGTACAACTATGTGCGGAACCTATCGTGAGCAAAGTTGTTCGAATACTGAGCACGTCCTAGAAACTATAGACGATGACAATATGTAGATGAAAGTATGAATGTGGAATAGGCAATGTTTTTGTTTATATTATACAGTATTATATCTGTTGCGTGTATATTTAACACGTTAAAATACCTTGGGAGACTATAATTTGAAAGGCGTCCTGTATTTTATTTGTACTCCATTTTTCAAACGGTTATTGCTCGAAATACATTGGATAAATATAAATAATGAATAGAACCTTTTTTGTAGCAAATTTTATAAGGAATATTTTTGACAAGAATAAAATTTTCTGTGCGACTAATGGTTTACGAGAAAAACGAGAAAAACCACCGCAGTGCGTATTGGGGGTGGTTTTTGGGGGTGAATCTCACACTTTACAGTTAGGAACTCTTTTGATTTTAAAAAGTCTCCTTTTAATACGTATAACCTCAACATATCAAAACTTTATAATTTTTTTTCTAAATATGCTAATATCAACGTACTACATCACTTTGAACACAGTTTACTTTTATAATAAATTAACGAATTCATCATCATCATTTTCAACTTATTCAACCATTTCCAATTATGGTGTAGCCTCACATACTATCTTTGTAGTTGGCCCATTGTTGTCTATTATTGGCTGTGCGGGCCTAAGTTATCCCTGCTAATTTCCTAATATTATGAGACCAACTCAGGTTTGGTCTTCCTCTAGGTCTCTTAATTACTCGTGGGTACCATGCTGTTCTTCTTGCCGGGTGTTCTGCCCATTGCCATTTGAGAGATTTGACAAAATTTTTTGACTCTGTGAATGACATCTGTTACCTGGGTCTTTTGTCGTATCCACTCTATTCTTTTACGGTCTCTTTTGGTTATTCTCAGCATATTTCGTTTCACTGAACGTTGTGCGACCTGCAGTTTTTTAATGATGACAGAATTCACATACCAGCGTCAAATAACGTCACAAAAAATTACTCGAAATATTAAATGTTTCTAAACGCCATATTATTAGTCACATTAATGCACAACTTTGCCCTAATTTAATCATCCTCGTATCTCTTATAGTTTTCGGGATCCTATTGGTGGGGTCTAATTTGAATTACCCTGTATAATAGCTTGCTATATTTCTTTAACCTCATTTCTTTAGTAAAGTAATTCTCCATACTGCCGCCTCTGGAAGGAGAGCGTTTTAGACTTGTATTAAAATTTTAAATTTTTAGTTTGCTATATATCGCGTCGAGTAGGTATATAAAGACGGTGCAGTATGAGCAAAACTTAAATTTTTTAAGATCTTTTGGGTCCTCTTCAGTCGCTTTCAAGTAGCTCCCTCAAGTTATAAAATGCAGAATCCCTTCTAAGAATTTTAGGGATCTTTCGATATATGTATAATATATGTATCAATATTACAAGATAAAACGCCGTTATTTGAGATAGTTTAAATTTTGATGTGAAGTATATGAATAGGTCAGTTTAAAATGTTCTAATCTTCTAAGATAATCACGCAAATGACAAAATGTTTTATTTTTATGTACATTTTCATTTATTTGTTATATTTGAGGCGTTAAGGTGCATAACTCGTTTTATCCCAAAAACATTGCTTCGATATAATACGCAAAAACTATTTTAGCAAATGTTTGAAGCGTTAGTTTTCAAAAAACGTGTCCATTAAATGGAATCATTGTTTTGTATCTGGTTTTTCTGGAAGTAAACATTAATATCTCATTTTAAAGCGAAAAAAAACTCAAAAATAATTCAGATAAGGCGGGTTTTGTTGCAGTATGATTGATATTGCAGATTTTACTACAGCAAGATATTTGCATCTTAACTGGGAATTATTATGTATGCTATTTTATTAGGTAAGGATTTGAAATGGATAAGATATCAGTAGTAATATTATATGTGTGTAAAAACCTAGAAAAAAAATGCGGGATTTGCAACAATAATGACAATAAAAAGCAAACATAAGTGTATAAGACAGATTTTGTTGCAGTAACGTAATTTGTAGTGAATTTTATATAGGAATAGGCGACTTTTGCTGCATTTTGGGATTATATTTATGTAGATTTTAGGGTCCACTATTAATACATATATATGTCATTATATTTTTTTTAAATGGATATGGTGTATATTATTTTCTATGATTTTTTTATGTTATTTGAAATAATTTCAGATTTTTGTTTCAAAATTATATGACAAAAATTAATGATAATAATTAATTATACATATAGAGTCAAGTGTGTGTCAACAGTTTATCCAAATTTATACGCCTGCTTTTTTACTAGAATGTTATATAAATATTTTTCTTTGTTTCAGCTGTAGCCCTGAAGCTCTAAACTAACCTAACCAGCAAAAGTCAAATCAAAGTGGACGCTGGCAAACATGTTCTTCTAGTTTGTTTGCTTTGACAAGTAAACACCAAAGTAAGTAATATACCTACGTTTTATGTTCTTTATCTTTTATAACATTATTAAATGTATATTGTTTGATATTTTAAAATATATATGATTATTATTTGAACATGACAACAATTTCTTAACACTATCTTCTAAAATAATCAATGCTATTACCTGTGGAATTACATTTTATATGATATATTTTTATATAGTGAACCTAAAATAAAAGAGAGATTGATGATGTAATAACCTTTATTTTTAAGATAAAATAATACATTTTACACACAAAAATTTTATCAGACAAAACATGGCTAATGAAAAAGCTTCAGCATGGCTGAAAGAATCAATTTTTATATCGACTTCCTTCTAACGGCAATTTTGCCGTCATTTTCCTTGCTACGAATTGCCTTATGCATAGCTCTTACCTACATTCTTGCTGCTTATTACATTTTCTTGTATGCGGGTGTAAGGTTGGCTGAATACGAATACGTATTGTAAGATAAATGGAATATAAGATTTGCTGAGATGGAAAGCGATGCCTCAAGATTAAATAGCAAAGTAAAGATTTTGATTTTGATGAAAGGAAATTTTAAAAATTCTTTTTTATTAAGTCATATTATACATTAGCTTACATACAGGGTGGCCCATCGAAAACTTTCCGCAAGGCATAACGGCCAGGGTATTTATTTTTTCAAAAAATCCAAAAACACGTCAATTTTGTTTGTGAGGGGGACAAGTTTTGCCCCAAAAATGATTGAAAAATATTCAACCCTCTAAGCGGGGGTGTCATCCCCCAACTTTTTTCAAATGGAAAGGGGGGTCAAGTGGCGCCGCAATGAAAAGAGCTTTCTATTCTTTATATTTCCCCGCTTCGTTTTTGAAAATCGGTCGAGTCATTGAGAAAATATGAAGGATTGAAATTTGAAAAGTTTATTTAAGCATTTATCAGAGTAAATGATAATTAAAGATAAATTCGACCAATTTGCTGTTTTTTCTTATTATTTCTAGATGTTTAAGCATTGTTTCACTTGCCACAACGTTGAACGATCAGGTGCGGCAGTTGCTAGATAGCTGTTCTGTGACTTATACGTTGAAGTTCTTCTCGATATCGTTAAACTGACCCACAATAGAATTTCCAAAAATACCAGCCCACACGTTCAATTTCTGAGGGTTTTGTGTGTGCACCTCGTGAAAAACCCAGGGGTTGTCCTCAGCCCAGTACCGACAGTTGTGCCGATTAACTACACCGTTCAAGAAGAAAGTACACTCATCCGAAAAACACACATTAAATAGGAAATTATTATCATTCGCCACTCGTTCACTCATAGTTTCACAAAATTGATGGCAAGCAACGATCAAAATCGTTTTCGTTGAGTTCTTGTACCAACTGAATTTTCTACGGGTGGAACTTGTGTTGTTTTAATATCCTTTGGAAACTTGTACGATTCCCGCCGGTCTCATTGGCTAATTTTCTTGTACTCAGAATACTGTCCATGGCAACTTGGCCCAATACGAATACCTCCATAGCTTCATTTACTACAGGATTTTACTACCACTTGACCCCCCTTCCCATTTGAAAAAAATCGGGGGATGACACCCCCGCTTAGAGGGTTGAAGATTTTGCAATAATTTTTGGGGCAAAAGTTGTCCCCCTCACAAACAAAATTGACGTGTTTGTGAATTTTCTGAAAAAAAAATTACCCTGGCCGTTATGCCTTGCGGAACGTTTTCGATGGGCCACCCTGTATAAAGGTCAATTATAGTTTTCTTGCAGATTTTATTTATTAGTTAGAAATAAAATTACTGCAATAAAATACATTTACCGAACGGAATAAAAGTCTTTAGCAATCGTTTGGGGGTTGTCCACAAAGGCCGTATTCATACCTAACAATAATAAGTTATTAGCTAACCTAACCTAACTTAGCAATCCCCAGCAAGTATGAAAATTTCAACAATATGGCAACCACTCGTAAAACGCTCCAATGCAGTGCAACGTAGCTCTTTCTGAGTTGCGTTGCTGACGCTTAAGTTTCTTGTATTGTTGCTTTTAGAAGATCTCGGGCGCCACCTCTAGTTAATAAGTGGTTAGAGGCCCACTAGTGCCGGTTCGGGTAGCTTTTAAACAGTGGAGATGTATGGCAGTGTTGCAGTTCTTTTAGCTCAGAGGTGGGGAAAAATAAATTAAACAATAGTCTGTAGTTATAAAATAAAGAGCAGGTCGTGTTTTCCCAAAACTATTTACAAGTCAAAAGTTTATTTTAGATTCAAAGAAAAATGTCTTTCTTCTTAATCAGGGCGGAAGGCAAGGCGATGTGTAGGTGGCTAGTTGAGACACCTAGCGCTTAAATTGGCTCCGATGCGGAGAGTCTCGTCACCGGGTTGGAGCAAATCTACACAGAAAAGAATATTAATAAAAACTAGAGACTGTTAGGGGAAGGGCGGCACTCCCAAGTTAATAATAAAAAAAATAATTTATTCTTAAATAAAAAAAAATAATTAATGTTAGCACTTGCTAATAAATTCAAAAAGAAAAAGGAATACAAAATTTATTTGAGAGTGATAGTGTAAAGAATTGAAAATATTCTATTCAATGTTTTAGTCAAAATATTAAACGTATACGGGTGTGTCAATAAGAAAATGTTGTAATTCCTATTTAATTGAATTAAAAATGTTTCGGAGTTAACAAGAAATTGTTCTAATAATTATTCTATTTATTTTTAAAAGTATGTCGGTGAGAATAAGAAAATACTAAAAAAAAATATTTATTTAACATTAAAAGTACGGCGGGGCTAAGGTCTAAATAAGGCAACGGAAAGAAATAAAAAAAAATTAAATTACGAAGGAAAGGAAATGCGGAAAACTATAAGAGTTCAGCGAGAATATCTATAGTGAAGGGATCGGTGTATAAGAAACCTGCCGGGATTTATCGCACTCACAAATTTCCCACGTTCCTAATCTTCACTAGAGATATGCCGCTTATTTATTAATAGAACTGATAGAATGATTTACTGCGGGTGGTTTTCGGAAAGAAAAAAAACTAAAGACAGTTTATCTGAGTAGTCAATGAGGAACCTGGAATTCGAAGCAACTTGCCGGGATTTTTCGCACTCACAACTTACTTATTTTACCTAGTCCTCATTAACAACCCAAATATGTTTTAAGTGATTAAAAAAAATCTAAGAGCTGACCTAATGATTTTTAATTAAATTATCAATAAGGAATTTAGAGTTTGAAGCAAACTACCGGGATTTATCACACTCATAGTTTACTTGCTTTTCCAAGTCCCTATTGATAACTCAAGCGTGTTTGATTTTACAGATTTGCTATTGATATTTAAAATATATTTTTTTTTTTACTTTTGGAATTTATTCTAAACTATTTAGACCTTGCCACGGTACAGGATTCCTTTCTGAAAAAAAATAAAAAAAAATATTAAAAACCAAATAAACAATGAATTCTCGATACTCAGTACTATACCAAACTAATCCTGAAGGTTACCTTGCGGGCGGTTTCGGAGCGACGGTGAATTCAATAAAAACGGAGGACGGGCAGGCTTCCCCAACTGCTAGGCGGCGGCGGTGTCTCGGTGCTGGCTTCTGCGTGGCGGACTGCGGCGACTGTGACTGCTGGCGCTGGTGCTGGAGCTGGTGCTAGTACTGTCGGTGGTGGTGGTGTAGGAACTCCTCTTCTCTGGCTAGAGCGTCGCTTCTTATTTTCCCCAGTCCTTCCCTCCAGTTGAAAACCGTCGTGGTGGCGGCGTGCGCCGAGCCGGGTGCGCGTCTCGATACGCCAATTTGGTACTAGCGGTACCAAGCGGGCTGCATCGAGCGCATGGAATGCGTTCAATTATTAATTAGCGCGTTTTAAGCTAATTAATGAGTTCGGTTCGTATGTTAATTCAACAAATATAATTTTATATAAAAAGTACTATCTTCTCGAAAAAGAATCAAAATTTTCTAATGTATGGAAGAGTAGAAAGATAAATTAACTAAATAAAATTCGTAATCGGCGGAAAAATTGAAAAAGTTAATTAAACATATAAAAAAAATAGTAACTTCGTTACAGCAGGTATTCTTAGTAGAGAACCTCATGCTTGACTGCACCCAACTAATTCACGGGTGAATTCTCGGCTCTAGTGTATAATATCAGTAGTTTTAGTATTTTTATTCTAGAATCCGAAAATTAATTAATATATAGGGTGTTCGATTACAAAAACACAACTTTGATGTGTAACCTTTTTGGTGACACTCTGCAGAACTGCCTATATTTTTAAAAAATGCTCTAATTTTACCTATATGCTCTCCCAAAATTTTATTTCGATATAAACTACCATTCTTCTTGGAGCCTCCGCGTCGTATGAAATGTCACCCTGTATTTATTAAGATTATGATTGTAATTATTTAAAACTATTTTTAAACTTATCTATCAACTACAATTTGTAAACGAAATATACACCTTATATTATATCACATAATACATTTACCGAACGGGATCCATAAACCATTAAAACTTAAAGCTCCGGAACGCCACAAATCGGCTCCGAGTAATTTTGATCTCAATCTAGCTCTATGAAGCCGCTTGTATAATAAATAGTTATACAAAACCACAAGAGACTTTACTAAAACAGAGTAAACACATTAAGTAATATAATATGCAAATTATCTGTATATCTCTATCTAAGTGTTACTGATAACAAATTCTAAATAATGAATTGGTAAATATTAAATAATTTTAGTATTATTGTGGCGTATCGTAATAAGCATACCGTGTTGATAGACAACTTATGGGTTAAGATCATAAGTAGTGCAATTCAAAAAAGTTTTTTTTCCTTAGTTGTTATTCACTTGTATCAACTTTTAAAACAGTGTATGTTAATAGCCTGAATAACCATCACTCTACAACTACAATTTTCTGTGATTTCTCTAAGGCTTTCGACTGTGTAACATAATATCTTAATTAACGAATTGCAATACTATGGATTAAGGGGAGTGCCGCTCCAATGGCTTAAGTCATATCTAGGCAACAGAAGGCAGCTTGTGATGATTGATACGTCTAAGTCTTCTTGCAAGCCTATAGAATATGGTGTCCCTCAGGGTTCAGTACTAGACCCTATTTTGTTTCTGGTGTTTATTAACGAAATTGCTAATCTAGTCATTAGCGGAGAAATCTGCCTCTTTGTGGACGATACTAGTTTCACTTAGAGCGGCCCAGATGTTACGGCACTATATAATACTATATCCAGTGACTTACGCACCATTAAATCTTGGTGCGATTCTAATCTCCTATGCCTCAAAAACTAAAGTTTTGTCATATAAAACTACTATACAACCTTTTGTACTTAATAACACCACTATTGACGTCGTGGGCTCTGTGAAATTCTTAGGACTTGTTGTAGACAACTCGTTAAAATGGGACTTGCACATCGAAGCTTTACCAAAGAAACTAAGCGCTGCCTGTTTTGCGGTAAGATCAGTTTCTAAGGAACTCAACTTATCAACCTTCAGAATAGTCTATTATGCTCTTTTTAAGTCGCATCTTCGTTATGCCCTTCCATTCTGGGGTCCTTGCTGCGCGACAAAATTTGATCGTATTTTCAAACTTCAAAAGAAAACAGTTCGATATTTATTGGGACTGAACAGTAGAACTCACTGCCAGAATTTCTTTAAAAGTTTCAAAATATTGACGCTTTCTTCCTTATTCATTTTTGAATCCGTTTGCTTAATCCGCAAGCACATATTCTCTATTCAGGAAAGGCCTTCTCACAACTATCCACTTAGGAATGCGTAGCACGATCTTTATCTGCCATCCCCGAGCTCAGAACTAGTTAAAGGCCCAATACTGTACAATGTCAAAACTGCAATGTATGTATGTATGTTCTATTTGTAATTTTAATGACGTACATTTTTTTGAATTGTATGATTTGTATTATATGGTATTTTTTATTATTTGTATATTTTTGTGTTTTTGTTTGTTTTTTAAATGCTTTGTCGATGAAGCTATTTTGGCTTTTTGTACAATAAAGCTTTATTTATTATTATTTTCGATTTATCTCAACTACATCCGTTGGTTTCTCGTGGTTGGAGGAGTGACTCGTCTCAACCATGATGGTGATAACTTTTCTGGCTTAGAAACGTTCCCGGTTAAGTTACATGTATAGAAATCGCCTTACTGTATGGCAGGTCTTAAGGATTACTGAATTTTTGCATAAGTTGGTAGTGGTATGGTTCTAAGTCTATTGCCTTCAGCGATTCAATTAGTGTTTTTGGTATTACACCCATATTCGATAGTACTAATGGGATGACCCGGACTCGATCGTATTTCCACATATCCTTAATTTCAAAACATAAATCAATATATTTGGTAATCTTCTCTCTGTATGTTTGTGTTAGGTTATTGTTGTTTGTCACCGCAAAATCTATGAGCAACACTTCATTTTCTTTTTCTTCTTCACTACTATATCTGGTCTATTGTGTTTTATATTGTAGTGTTTTATCTGTTATTATAGTTCTGTCCCAGTACATTTCATATTTATTGTTTTCAAGGATTGTAGCAGGTTCGTACTGATAATAGTTAACTCTATGCTCTATGAGTTTATACTTCAATGCTAGTTCTTGGTGTATGATCTTTCCCACTTGGTCGTGTCTAAATTTGTAGTCACTCTGTGCTATAGCTTGGCATCCTCCTATGACGTGATGTATTGGCTCACTTGCTTTCTTACACCTTCGGCATAAGTCAGACTCAATTCCGTCCTTTAAGATGTATCTTCGGTAGTTATTGGTCTTAATCACTTGATCTTGGATGGCTATAAAAACCCTTCAGTTTCCAGTTGTAGCTCTCCACGTTTTAACCAATTGTACGACGCTTGTTTGTCGACAGTGTCTTGGTCTAGGTCATGGGAAAACCTTCCCTGTAGAGCCTTTTCTTTCCAGCGGGTAAGCTTGTCTGTGTCTTCTACTATGGACCAAGTTTTTTCTTCGTCACTTAGTATTAGTGGGGTGTGTTTATCTGCTTTTACAATAGTATTATTTTACAATAGTATTAAGTATTTTGAGTATATATAAATGCCTTTATTGACAAAAAAAATATAGTATTAATATTAATATAATTTTGGGGATAAAAAAGCGACAATCATATACGCATCAATTATGAAAAATATCTCACAATGGTTACATTAGGTAACGTTATAGAACTGGTTAATTTACAGTATCTATTTACATTAATAAATTTCAAACACGAACCAAATTGCTATTGATTAATTATAAGGCAATAAGTTTGTTAATCTATACTACACTTATAAAATACAATGAATTAACTCCCTAAATTTCCACAAATCGAATTAAGTAATCCTGATCTCAATCTAGTTCGATAGAACGGTATTATATTAACAATTAACATATGTAAACAATTAAGCAAAGCCCTGGGAGACTTTGCTCAGAGATACCGTACGTACGTTTAGTAATGTAATATGCAAACCAATTTATTCGATAATGAACCGTAGAGATTATTGAATTACGGGCTGTCATGTCAGTATGATTTTTCTCTTTCCTATGATATTTCATGTGACGAAACCGAATACCTGCGGTTAGCAGTAGAGAGTATCAGTTCGTCGTATTAAAATATTGGTTTTACTTTTATTTTAGTTGATGAAATGAAGTAGCCTGTTGAAAGATTTATTTTTCACGCTACTAAAATTACAGACTTTTTTGCAATTTAATATATTTAAATGAAATTGAAAATGTCGAGAAGAGATGTTTTGTGGTTTAGTAATAGAGTGTTGACCTTTTATTTTTATCTCACAAACATGCTTGACATATAATGATTCAAGTTGAAATATGATGTTCTATTGGCGTTTATTGTGTTCCAATTATTGTTTTTATGTAATACACTATACAAATATAGTTCATATCAAATAAACTTTTAGTCACGTGATTAAGCTTGACCGGCACAGCGTTGCACACTTTTATATATTTTCTTTTAATCAAAATATTATAGGAAACAAAAATAAATTAATTATAAATATATAAACAGTTATTATTTACATCAATAAAACTCACCTTCTTAACAGCCCTTAAGGGATATAAAGAGCCATTACTACCGCTTTCCCAAAATATTCTAATAAAGTTGTTTTTTACGGCTATTAAGCTATCTTGTACACTTCGCATTAAAAGAGGTTCTAAAAAGATCAATGTTCGACTGATAGTCCTATGGAGGTTTGCGAGAGAGCTACCAACTAAATCCCCAGCGGGAAATTTCAGTTAGTCAGCCCGGCGCCGAATATGTCTATGGTTGGCAAGAATAAATTTAAAAATTACGCCCTCGATTACGTAACTAAAAGTTTAATTGGTATCGAATATATTTAGCACTTTACTACATTTAATAGACAAACTTTCGGCCCATCATAATAAAATATATTTCTTTTTTTAATAATCACAAAAATAAAGTGCATTTATTTCACAGAAGTAACGAGATGTATTATAAGCAACTTTGATGACTGGTATTAATCCATATGGTATTAATTCATAAAGTACGACACTTTCAATTTAGTTGATTTATATTAGGAATTTATAAACTTATAAGGCATAGGATTTCCAGAAATATATTTCGCAGATTGAGTAGTTTTATGAGTCGAAATAAGAGTTAGAGAAGAAATAATAAGAATATATGTGGAAGATGTCTGTTCTATATACCGTATGATCGAGAAAAAACGGCGTCAAAGGCGGCTGGGGAATGACTATCGATGCTATTTTTGACGAGTTAGGACTCTAGACGTCAGTTACTGAGAACTGACATAAAATTT